TGTTTTTTCCCCCTCTTTCCCTTATCAGTGACCAATGTAGTCACCATGTTGGCATGTTTTGAGTTCATTGTTGGTACCATTGTATCCAATCCATCTCATTTTCTTTTCTTTGTTTAATTTAGTAGATTTAGTAAAAATGTAGTAACAATATTTTCATAAAGTACCTCTGCTTTGGAGTGACCAAGTAGAGTTTACTTCTAAGAAATAATAATAATAGTAATAAATCTGCAGTAAATATTGACTAGGCATATTCAGCATGAGAGTTATGTATTATGTCACAAAAGATCATGGTTGTTCATAATATGCAACAAAGTCCTGGGATGGCTGCTAACCTAATGACTGGAAGTTCGAGTCCACCCAGAGATGCCTTAGAAGAAAGTTCTGGCAATCTACTTCAGAAAAATCAGTCATTGAAAACCCTATGGAGCTCAGTTTTATTTGGAAACATATGGGGTCACCAGGAGTTAGAATGGTGTTGCTGTAGTCAAAACAACTGCCCTTCTGGTCTTGTCTTGTTTAAACTGTGTAACTCCTGGAAATTGGTGTTTGTTTTTTTTTCCTTATGTAGTCCTTACAGCTCAGTCTTCTGATCCATTGGGGGATAGATACACAGATAATGACAATCTTTGTAAAACTGTGCTCACATGTAAAATCTTGTGTGATTATAAGATATGCTGTAATTTTTGAAATCATCAAATGCTTTTCGACACTTTCATGAGAAAAGGTTTTCAAAAAACACTTTGAATTGTAAAATATTAGTATGTTCTATGACAGACTGCAGAAGAATGGAACCCACATTTTCCTTTCATAACTATTCTTATATCTATCATGATTTGTGAGCTGAAAGTCACACAGTCACTTGTTTAATTGGTACTGCATTTGGTGATGAGACGAATACTTCTTTGGCATGTATATGGGTATGTTTTTGTGTTTAATTTTGACCTAAAGTCTGTGAACATTAAAAAGTTAGGATTAAGTTTCCTGGACTTATCGTGTGGAGCTGTAGGATCAGCACTACACTGTAAAGTCGGCAGTTTGAACCCACCAGCTGCTCCTTGGAAACCCTATACAGGGTTAGAATTGACTCGATGGCACATAACAACAACAACAAATTCTATTAGTAACAAATGCTGAAAGGTTTTCTCTTATTTCAATGTTGAGATCTGCATTAAGGAACTATTGGCTCTTGCTTCAGTAATGGGAAAAGCAGTGCTTTTGTTATTTATGCTTATAAATGCTGTGTGATTGTTTATGATGGTTGCCTGAAAAACTTACACTATTTTGTACATGAGTCCCATGATAATTAGGGCATTTGCCTCAGGAATATAAACAAAAAACCCAACCCCATTGCCATTGAGTCAATTTCAACTCATAGTGATCCTATAGGCAAGGTCGAACTGCCCCAAAGATTTCAGAAGCACACTGTCACCTCTTTCTCCTGCAGAGTGACCGCTGGGTTAGAACCACAAATTTTATTGGTTAGCAGCCAAGCACTTTACTGCACCACCAGGGTCCCTTTCCTAAGAAATATAATGGTATATGGCTTTAGCTATAGTAGACGTGGAATCCTGGTGTGGCACTGTATGGTAAGCACTGGACTTCTAGCCACAAGGTTGGCAATTCAAACCCACCAGTAGTTCCTATGCAGTGTGGCTATGAGTCAGAACTGACTAGATGGCAGTTTATAACAACATAGTCGACTTACTTTACCTCAGAAGAGGATGTACGTTGATCTTGTGACTGTCCAGGGGCTCTGTAGTCAACATCAGTGCTCAGGTTTTCTGTGCATCCCCAAATTTGTTGAAGTAATTAAGGTTGGGTTCAGTGCAGCATTGTTTCTGAATTAACAAAGAGCTTTTGACGCAATAAAAATCTTGTCTATTGAAGTCCTGGCTTGGCGCTGTGGGTTAATGCGCTAGACTGCAAAGTTGGTTTGAACCGTGAGGTTGGCAGTTCAACCTCACCACTTGCTCCTCAGAAATCCTGGGTTGGAACCAACTTGACGGCACTTAACAACAATAACAACATCCCTTGTGTACCCCAAACAAAATCTGGTGATATGGATGGAATGCTCTTAATGAAAACAAACAAAAATCCTTGTTGCTGTTGAGTTGATGCTGATTTACAACGACCCTATAGGAAAAAGTAGCACTTTCCCATAGAGTTTCTTATGGAAGCAGACTGCCACATTATT